TAGCGGCGTGCGAGTTCACAGGAAGACAGTTGCGCCTTAGTACGGAGGAAGGTGTGTCTCTGAGGCGAGACAAGGGCTGGCAGAGAGACAGGATTAATGGGAATCGAGTGATATCGTATCGTGGCCGGTGTGAGAGGCAAACGAGGAAGATCCTTGCGCCCTCAGCCGCTGAGTCTCTATTGGTGGCACCGGGAAGCCGGGATGGGGCGGGTGCTCCAGGTGCTTCGAAGCAGGGATAGCGTCAGTGCTGGAACGGTCAGGAAGCATGTGCGCAAGTGCGCCGGCGCGATGTCCTGTAGCGTCCAGGGTGACAGGCGTCGATGGGAGCTAGTTGATGGCCTAGAGCAGGACGGTGTTGTCCGAAATCTAGACATCAGACGATGGCGGTCGAGGAGCAGCGTCGTTGGCCTGGTTTGGGACACAAGACGACAAGACGGCAGGGGAGGTCATCCGCCAGCCAGTCGCACGAAGACGAAAGAGTGCCAGAAAGAAAACCCCCGAGGCGAGGGCTAAAGGGAAAAGTCGAGAGCCAGGTCCAAAAAATGGAGGGGGGTGTGTGTGGTTGAAGGGGAACCAGGTATACCCTCAAACCCTGAGATGAGATTGTCTGGGTTGGGTTAGGGCGTCGTAGGTAAAAGTAAGTATGCCAATGCCAATGCCAGTGCTTGTGGGCTGGCTGCCTTCATGCATCCGACGGTATGGATTGTCACCCTCCATGCTGTTGTGGTCTGTCGAAAAGGAACAAGGGGGGGGGGTGCGCCGAGGTTGGACTTGGGGCACGCATATGGTTTCTGGGACCGAGTCTAGGGCTCCTCCTTTGCTAGCTGGCGGGCGTAGAGAGAGATGCGCGAACAGACAGAGAGGGCGGGGACAAGGCCTGGCGGATGTGCAGCAGTTACAGGTTCTGTGCAGACCATGCCAAGTACGGCCAGTGCAGCGAGCGACTTGGTGAAAGACATAACCAGGTTGAAGTTGATTTGTGACAAAGTACCATCTTTGCGGTGACAGCGGGTAGGCGAAGGGGGGAAACGCTAGGGTTGGCCCATCGGACGCCGGGTGGTGATCAGTGATGTGAGGCGGTGGAGATGGCTCAACGCAGCAGGCTGCTTGCGGTTGTAGGGAAGGTGGGGCCTTGCGATTCATGGAGCCCAGCTTCCCGTCCCTATCCGTGCTGTGGTCTGTCAGTATCCTGGTCGGGGGCATCAGCCCAACAAGAATCCCATTCTCAACCCCTCCCCTCCCTTCTTCTCCCCTCCTTTGTCTTCGCGATGGCCCTTTCCGTGATCAAAGGCGGGAGCCATTTAGCAGGTGCAAGATGACGATCATGACAGGAAGTCACGTCTGCCCGCCCGCCATCCTTGCAGAAGGTGGTAGGGTCAAGGAGGGACGGGCAAGAGGCAGGGTGCGCATCCAAAAGTCCAATGCATCACATTTTGGTCAATAAGGCAGGGACAGCCCTGGCCAATGCCAAGAAGACAAGGTGGGCCCCTGGAGGACTCATATGCAGGGGCGAACTCTATGTCAGGGGAAGTACACCAAGGTATGTGCTAATGCTCCAGGCACCTGTGCTCTTGCTGTGCTTTCCCTTTTCCAACGACGGGGAACAAGCTACCACCCACTACTATGTACAACAACTACAGGAGGAGTAGGGGTGGCAGCCGCAATTGCAGCAGCAGTTTCGACAGTGGTACGATCTTGTAACTCTTCTAGGCGATGGCAGGCAGCGGCCGCAGGCTCTCGAGACAGAGAAGGAGGAAAAAGCAAGTATGATGACCCGGCAGCCACACAATGACGATGTGGACGGTTGACCTAGCTCATGACGATTTCGTGCCACCACTTGCCAATGAGCGGGAGAAATGGCAACCCTGGCCCTCGCGCGCTCAGGTGTCGCTTGAGCCAAGGACAACCGGGCGAGGGAGGTGCGTGTGTGGCCAGCGATTAACGGTTGGTGATTGTAATGGTGGTCGTCGGAGACCTCGTAGCGTTCCGTGTGGGTGGTGTCCCAGCGCCTTCAGCCCGGAGCCGGTCGTATGCCCGAGCAACGAGACCTTGAGTTCAAGGCGAGCTGCGTACTGTAGGTCCCTCTGGCAGGGGAGAAAGGTATACCTCGAGGTACTGCCTGCTATAAGCAAGGGGTTCGATTGGGTGCTGCAGAGGATCCGAGTACCTGGAATGTGCGGCCAGCTGCCTTTGCCGGCTCGCTCGCCTGTTCGCCTGGCGTTTGCCATACTGATGCTGCTGGGCTGAATCATCCGCCCGAGCCCCGCCTCCTCCCCCTCTCTACAGTACACACCATCCAATGCAGGTAGTATGGTGTCAGCGTCGCCTGGTAGGTAGGAGGTACTTGTATCGAGGTGAAGCGCCTCTGCATCACGCCGGCTCACCGATTTCCTCGTTCAGGTAGGCACTCCCTACCAACTTGGGCTCTCGTTCTCCGCTTCGTGCGGACTTAGGCTGGCCTCTTAACCCCCCTAGTACTTAACTGGCTGGGTACTTCACCTTGCCTGGTAGGGTTGGCATCATAGGTATACATCTGATCAAGTTTACCCCGACTTTCAAGGTCCTGGGTCCCATCGGCCAACTCCCGCCCGCCCGTGTTCATCTGCCCGTCATCCTGGACGGGAGCGCTACGTAGGACCCATGCCCCTTTGGACGTTGTCTCTGAGAAGCTTAAACCCCCCCTTTGCCATTCTGGAGACCGGTCCTTCGCCGACCGGCAATATGCAACAATGTGCGTCGTCTTGCGTCCTTTTGGTATGCTCGGCGCGTCCGCGGTTGAGACATTTCTGAGGCCAGCGCCCACTTCCGCTGTTCCGATGTGAAGCAAACGTACGTATGGCGAGGGAGACAGACCCGGAAGTGCCCATCACTTTCCGTCTTGGGCACAATGGCGCTCTAATATGTCCACCGCCAACTGCAACCTGGTGGCCCTTCGGTTACGCTCCTCCGCCATGGTGATCACTGGAAGCGCGCTAGGCGAGCCTCATCACCATTCGAATGACGGGGATTTCAATAATCAGACCACCTGGTTTCACATCCACCCATGTAGCGTTTTTGCAACATGGTTGGAGACGGGCCGGGTGGTCACCTGCGTAGGGTGTCCTGATACCATATAACCCTCCACGGCCGAGCGATAGAACCCATTCCGCCTTAACAAAGGCATTCATCCTCTCCAGTCACCCCGCTATTTTGCACCGTCACATATGATCGTGGATGGCATTGGTCCGGCCGCCGACAGATCCAAAAAGATACAAAAGCAAGCGGTGACCGCGCGTGCATTATGTTGACCGACTCGGATCAGTGCCGAGCCAGCGCTGACCCAAGTAAGCTCAACGAGCCGTGGCGCCTGTGTTCCGCTGATGTCTCCCCACCGGTCCGTCCTGCAAGCAACCGATGCTCTGTCTTGGCCCTGCTCCTGATCGTCAGCAGCCAAGAAGTAGCCGTCCCTCGCCGTCCCTCGCCGTCCCTCTACCAGGCGGCCGGCTGCATCGCAGTGCGCCAGCGCGACGTTGGGATCGGACCTTGAAGGGCGACCGTCCGGATGGGTACGGTTCGTGCATTGCATCCGTGACTCTCTTGCACTCCTCTCAAAAGGGAAACAAACATAGCCATGCATGAGCCCTGTCAAATAGTGTCAGACTCCCATGTCCGCCGGCCCGCGTCAGAGCAAGTTATTCGGGGCATCTACTCCGGACCACTGCCGGCTATCGTTCCTGGACATTGCCTGTAGTGCTTCAACCCATGATCTGGGCCTGAATGCACAACGTCTGGTTCGAATCAACCGTTGAGGAATGTGACAATAGAAGTTACGCGCCCACGCTCGCTGGCTTCGCATGGCAATGACCCGAAAAATGAAATAAGCAACTGGCCTCGGTCGCGAGCAGCGGTGCCCATTGGCGATTCGAAGTACATAACCTGGGGAGTGGCAGCCTGCGTGTTGGCAGTGCAGCACGCACCCCATAGCCAGCGTCCGTCGTCCCGTGTCTGACTGGCAAACTTCCAACTACCGATTCGTCGTCTGGGTCTCGGGGGGTTGCAGCGGGGACAGCGCAGCGCCTCTGACAGGTCATGGCATCGACTCGGTGGGTGCCAACATGGCATTGTGTTCACCGCGCGGCAGGGCGTCGGCACGCACCGCGAGCCAACATGAGGCACGGCGGATGGGCGCCTTCGGTCAACAGCTGCTTTTTTTACCTCTTCCTAGCTGCTTTCCCCCGTGCATTTGGCAGTGTGCCTGTCGTTCCGAAGTGTACCGAATCAGCCGTTATCGGCTGTCGAGTGCATGTTTTGGGCTTCATGCTTAGCTCATCATGATGACCTATGGACGTCCTGTGAGCCGCTGTGGCCCTGTACGTTGAGGTACCTAGTCCAGGACGAAAGGTACGTTGATTGGCGTGAGCACGACTTTCCCATCTCCCTTACTGTACCTGATTCGCCGCATTTCCCGATCAAGGGACCTTTCTTTCTCTCAACCAGCAATACGAGAAGGAAAGACCATGATTTGACGAACAATTTGTACGAGTCAAGCCAGGCAATTTCCCTGAATAAGGCAAGGCGGTGTGACGAGAGGGCATATCGATTGGGGTTAGACTCCACCGCGACGTGGGGGCCTCACATGTTCTGGCGGCTGCCGTTCTATCACCGGCCAAAGCCTAGGCAAGAGTGTGCCAGGTACTAGCAGGCGCGGGCAGGCACGGGCAGGCAAAAGGGAAGCGAGGACCGACGTCGCTGCCCTTCTACTGGTTTCTGCCTTCCCCACGAGCGGGCTGGGCTCGACACCTGGTGGGGCGGATAGTCTAATTCTTCACGTCCATGCTCCATCGAGCTTGGGACGAGTTCCTGAGCTGAACGGTCCGAAGGGGGGAAACGCGTCGTCTCCAGCCTCCATCCAATTTGACCTCCCTTCATCAGCTTGATCTGGACACAGGTGAGCGCTCTTAATCAGAACACCTTGTATCATCCACGAGAACTTCTCATACCAGGCTTTGGCGTTGAATGATACCCCTGGTCTCGTGACTCTATTCCTTTTCTGGACTCACGATCGCTTCGTCTACTTGATTCGGCCAACCCAAAGGAACAGACACCTGTCAAACATGTACGTCCCCTACTTTGCGCTGCCCCGGACCCCTGGCAGCGAGTCAGCCTCTTCTTTCAGCCTCGTGCATCCGTGCTCACCGTCCATCCACAGTCGAACATTCAAAGGTCAACCTGCGGCCATCAAACATCGCGAGGAGTCATTTCCCGATCATGTCGACCATTGACGTCACCAAGGACCTCGCCGCTCTCTTTAGCATCCAGGCCAAGGCGACCCCTGATGCAGTGGCGCTTGAGGATGAGGCCCGCACCTTGACCTATGCTGAGCTGGACCGTGAGACACAGTCTCTCGCTGACCACCTCCGTCGCCAGCATGGCGTCGGTCGGGACTCGCTCGTCGGTGTCCTCATGAACAGGAGCGCAGACTACGTCGTCGCCTCGCTGGCTGCGCTTCGTGCCGGAGGTGCCTTCCTGGTGCTCGAGCTGGCCTATCCGTCGGGTCTGCTGCGCGACGTCATCGAGGACGCCAAGCCGTCCGTAGTCATCACACAAAACGCCCATGTCGGCTTCATCAAGGCTGATGTTCCCATCATCGTCATTGATGAGTCAAACGATCACCTGAAGAATGTTGCCGGTGCCGGCAGCGAAGATCAGCTGGCTCCTCTCCCAGCCGAGGACGATCTAGAACGCCTTGCCTTCGTATCATATTCCTCCGGTACTACTGGCCAGCCCAAGGGCATCGCAAACCCCCATAGGGCGGCGGTTCGCTCTTATGACCTGAGATTCAAGCTCAGCGACCTCGGCCCCGGCGACCGAGTGGCCTGTAATGTCTTTTTTGTTTGGGAGATGCTTCGCCCCCTGCTACGGGGCGCCACGGTCGTCGCCATTCCCGATGCTGCGAGCTACGACCCAACGGCACTCGTCGGCCTGTTGGCGTCACGTCGCATCACTGACACACTGATGACCCCGACCCTGCTGGCGACGGTCCTCTCACGTCACCCAGAGCTGGGAAAGCGTCTGCCCGATCTGCGCTCTCTCTGGCTGAATGGCGAGGTTGTGACTACCGATCTCTGCCGTCGGGCTCTGGATGCCTTGCCTGACACGAGGCTTCTCAATGTGTACAGCGCCAGTGAGACGCACGAAGTCGCGGCCGGCGACATCCGGACTTTCATTGATCTCGAGGCTCGCGTCTGCCCTGTTGGGCCGACCATGGACCCCAGCCACATCTACATCCTCGACGAAGCCGGCAACAGAGTGAAGAATAACGTCAGCGGAGAGCTCTACGTTGGCGGTGACCTCCTAGCAAGAGGCTACCTGAACCTGCCGGAGACGACAGCAAAGGCCTTCACCCCTGACCCCTTCGACAAGAGGGAGGGAGCGCGCATGTACAAGACGGGAGATCTTGCTCGCGTGCTTCCTTCAGGCCTGCTGGAGATCACGGGTCGCGCTGGCGGCATGATCAAGACGCGTGGATACACGGTGCAGCCTGGTGCGGTCGAGAACGCCATTGTCAAGCATCTCGCCGTGCGTGACTGCGCTGTCACGTCTCACGGCGATGGTCTTGAGAGGCAACTGGTTGCCTACATTGTTCCCGACAATCAAGAAAAGAGAGATCGTGCCGATATTGTCATTGACGAATCCGGGTACAGCCCCGGGGCTCGCCGCACCCTCTCGGCGCATCTGGCTCTCTACATGATCCCCGCGCTCTGGGTTCAGCTCGATCAGCTCCCTACTCACGGCGTCTCGGGCAAGACGGATCTCAAGGCTTTGCCCCCACCACCAACCCCGAAAGTTGCCAGCAGCCCCAAGGAGGACCAAAACACTAAGATCAAGATGGAGACCATCGTCAAGCTATGGGCGGCTTCTCTCAACATGCCTGCCAGCGCCATCTCCGAGGACCTTGACTTTTTCGACATTGGTGGCCATTCTCTCATCCTCGCTGATCTCGCCAACCGCTTCACCAAGGAGTTTGGTTTCCCAGTCCCATTGGCTCCTCTCGCTGGCACGCCCACACTACAAGGTCACCTCGACGCTATCCGCGATGCTCGTGATGGACACACGGCAGCTGTGCAAGGTGACCTCCCCGCTGTTCTGCGCGCGGACTGTATCCTGCCGGAAGACATCAAGTCCCACGGTCAGCCCATGCGCCAGCTCAATGATGCCGACACTGTCCTCCTCACGGGTGCTACGGGCTACTTAGGAGCATCCCTGCTTAAGGGCCTGATCGAGAACACCTCTGCACACATTCTCTGTCTCGTGCGCTTCACTGAACCCTCTAGTGATTCTCGTCCCGCTGGCATGGCCAGGGTGCGAAAGAACCTCATTGACCTTGGTTTCTGGGACGATTCGATGCTCGATCGAATGGAGATTCTACCCGGCAACCTGTCTCGCAAGCGCCTCGGTCTGTCTACAGATGCTTTCACAGAACTTGCCTCTCGGGTGCAGGTCATTATCCACGCTGCTGCTACCGTCAACCTTGTGTACCCCTATGCTGCCCTGAGAAATGCCAATGTGGGAGGCACCAGGGAAATTTTGAGGTTGGCGTCCAAAAGCGGTGCCACCCTCCATCACGTTTCTACCAATGGCGTCTTGACCCCTTCTGTTGAGGGCTGGTCTGAGAACGCCATGGTGGACATTGACGATGTGCCCGATAAGCTCCTTGACGGCTATGGTCAGACTAAATGGGTGGCCGAGAAACTGGTGTACGAGGCTGCTCGTCGTGGTATGCCATGCAAGGTCTACCGCCCGGGTACCATCAGCGGTCATAGTGTCACGGGCTCCACCAACACGTACGACTTGCTGAATGCCTTGATCGTCGAATCGCTGCATGTCGGCTGTGCGCCCAATGTAGAAGGCTGGTTTGCTGAAATGACTCCTGTGGACTTTGTCAGTGCGGCCATCATCACGCTCGCGAATCACACCGACTCCAAGCAACTGGTCTACCACCTTGGCGATCCCAACCCCGTGTCGGCTAGTGGCATCTTCCACAGCTTGACAGAGCTTGGTTACTCGACCTCGCGCCTCCCCTGGGACGACTGGGTATCCCTCTGGCACGAGAAGCGGGGCTCCGGCCGAGCAGGCGACATTCCTTTCACGGCCGAGATTCTGCGTGGTGGCATGCCCACCGCCGAGGCCCTGCAGTCAGTCACAGTGCTCAAGGACGATGCGACGCAGCCTATTCTGGCCAAGTACGGCCTCCAGCGCCCCAAGATTGACAGTACCCTCCTCGAGACGTACATGCGTCACTTCTACGCTCGAGGCTGGCTCTCTCGGCCACCTCGTCGCAAGCAGGCCAACGGAACCTCGGGCAAGATTAATAAGGGTCGCCTCGCTGGCAAGGTTGCCGTCGTCATGGGCGCATCATCCGGCATAGGCGCCGCAGTCGGTGCGGGCCTGGCCAAGGAGGGTGCACACGTTGTGCTCGCTGCTCGACGCATGGACGCGCTCGAGGCAGTCAAGGCCAAGATCACCACCGCCGGTACGGGCGGTAAGGTTCTGATTCAAAAGGCAGACATTACCAGCAAGGCTGAGGTCGAGTCCCTCATGCAGAATGTCTCCAAGACCCTCGGCCCTATCGACATACTCGTCAGCTGCGCTGGTGTCATGTACTTCACTATGATGGCCAACAATAAGACAGATGAGTGGGAGCGTACCGTTGACGTCAACTGCAAGGGTCTCCTGCACTGTTTGTCGTCTGTCGTTCCCGGTATGCTGAGCCGCGGTGCTGGTCACATTGTCGCCATCTCTTCGGATGCAGGTCGAAAGGTGTTCCCCGGTCTTGGTGTCTACTCGGCCAGCAAGTTCTTCGTCGAAGCCACGCTGCAGAGTCTGCGACTTGAGACTGCGGGCACCGGACTTCGCGTCACGTCCATCCAGCCCGGTAACACAGCCACGGAGCTGCTGGGCATGTCGACTGACGCCGAGGCCATCAAGAAGTACGGCGAGCCAACGGGCGCCAAGGTTTTGGATGCGGAGGATGTTGCGTCGTCGATTGTTTTTGCCGTCTGTCAACCTCCGCATGTGGCGGTCAACGAGGTGCTCATTGAGCCGAGGGATGAGCCCATCTGATCGATCTGGCTGCAGGAAGCTAAATGGTATTCGCACAGTAGTCTCATAGAGTCATGCGGTCTTGTTGTACGTTCGTTCTGGGGCAGCATAGATCAGCATCGTTGCTGCTACAGTCATAATCAGATGATATTGTACGTGTCAAGGTCTCGCATGGAGGGCTGTGACCCCTCTTTTCCTCATGGCACGGGGCATTCCTTTCCTTGTGTTGCACAGCATGTGTCAAAAGGTGGAATCATCCCACATGTGATGTGCAGCTAGTTGTTGGCCAACCGGAGGCTGCCGAGTGACTGAACCCGGAGATTTTCTGTTGTTGAGGATCCAGTTCCCGGGGAACAACTGACAGAAAATACTGACAGAAAATGACAAATGACAGAAAATGACAAGTACCGTGATTTCTTGACCAAGAAGTAGAGGGAATGGTCCTTTTCTCGCCCATCCAGCAGGCTGCAGCCCATACTGCACGTAGGTAGTCAGCATCTGGTAAGCATAAGGAGCCAAGGCAACGAAGGCTACAACAACACCGCCACATAACTGTTGGTTCTGCGTGACACCCTACCTGCCCATGTGTGGGGTGCCCGCCACCGCTGCTGCATGCTGCCTATCGTGCGCCCGTCCAGCATTTTGAGGCTACGTTTCCTGAGCTGAAGGTCCGGTTCAGACCTTCCGGTCATGAGAAAGGGGGAAGCAGCAGCCGAGCAAAGGATGCGTAGCATCGGCGTGAGGGGGGAGTGACCAAAAGTCGAGACCCGGCCTGAACATTTGAGCGGCGCTTCGGTTTTCAAGGCTGGGTCGCCGAATCACGAGAGACGGAAACTTGGTGCTATAGCCTTCAACAATTCGCTGGCTTTGCCATACTTGGGAGGGCTGGGGCTCGTCTGGACCCGACTTGGGGGTGTTTCTGGCTCCATACTACATTGAAAGGCTTGGCTCGGAGGGTGATCGGCTTGTCCGGTGGTCTGTCTTTCCAGTGGCCGGGTTTGGTTCGACTGAGGATGACGGCGTGTCTCAGCTTTGATAGTGTCGGTCTTTTGTGACGACGAGAACGATGCATATGTCTATTGACTGATGTTTGGTTGCAATCGCTCGACGTGGACGACGTTGCATGGCGCTTCTGGGAAGGATCGCTCCCATCCGTCAGAGCATTGATCGCTGTCCAAAATTCCTCTTGGCGAGATCGTCTTTCTTTTCTCTTTTCGTTTGGCATTTGCCCTTGACCTGAGTGCTTAGCAAGAATGGTTACGCCGAGAGGCGTACAGTCATGAGATGATGGCTTTGCGCCACGGCAAAATCCTGAATTTTACCCCATTCCCATGTTGTCACCTTTGTTGCCCCACTGGGTATCTTGATTGTGGCCGACAGGATACCAACAGTGTGATGATAAGGTGTCAAAGTAAACCTCACAAGGCCTGGACCATGAGTTTCTCCGGCTTGGCTTTTAGACCTCTCCAGCGGGAACTCAACGTGCCCTGGGCTTCAAGGTGCTGGCTGTCGTTGTCGTCCACATCACCCCAGGCCTCTAGTCGCATCTAAAGCATAAGAGGCGTGGCAGACTAGCGCTCGGTAGTTCTCATGTACTCTGGGTGTCATCAACCCCATGGGTGAACAAGTAGCTACGATGGGTTATTGGCATGGAGTGCCGATGGTGCCCTGATAACAACTTGCGCCATTAGAACCGTTCGTATCTTGAGAATCGTTAGAGTCATATGCAAACCATGTGTATTCCTGTGTTTCCTTCTTCAGGTCAAACAACTTTGGCTGTCTACTACTATAGGTCTAAACTCAGTGGCCAGGTAAGTATGCCACTACGTAACCTTTCAATGCAATATTTCTCACTGTACACTAAAACACAGACCCTTAACCTTTCAAGGCGACAGATTGAAAGTCTCCAAGCATAACGATCCAAAAAAAAACTTCGGCTCCATTCTAGTTCAGTTATATGCGGGAGCGTAGGTAACTATCAAAGCTCTGCCATTTATAACAGAAATCAATAACACCAGGCAGTAGTAAAAAGCCTTGCATAATGGCTTTCCTGTCTACGTCGAAAGAGCCTCGAGTAATACATGTACAATGTGTGGTAACTGTCAAAAGTCAGACGCTGGGAGAATATGACGGCAAGCCAACGGTAATGTGTATCAGAGTGGTTGGATGAACAGAATGAAGAGGTCTTCAACTAGCAATATTCGCACCCAATCGTCAGGTACGAATGGGAACAATTTTGCATCTGGACATCTGGAGCTGGAAAAGCTCTCCGAGCTTTGTCGATTCAATGGTCGAGAACTGTGGAGAACACTGACTCGAAACCTGCCAGAGAGGGTCCGGCAAGACACGGACACTGTAAATTATAGAGCAGGGTATATAAGGAGTCTCGGACAATCTTGTAGATGGCCGAGGCCCATGCATAGACGTGATTCCACTCGACACCAACCAAGGGAACTGCTGCGCCAGTTCTGGAAACGACCGTTCTTGCGTTGGCCCCTTCTCCAAAACATTTGACCACCTATCAGACAACAACATCAAGGCGCCAGGGGACTACCAACCCGGCGTACACATAAACGGAAACTCAGGGCTGGATACGAACACAGACGGACGAACTGGGAATATGGCACGGCGGAGAGACACCGATGATGCGAGCGCAGACAAAATACCTTAGACACTGGAGCGCGCTTTTCAAGAAGCAAGATAGTGTAGACGTGTACGCAATGATCGAGGAGACGAAAGGATTTTAGTCTTACGTTCATTGCACCTGATGATGGTGCCGTGAAGGAGTTATTGGAGCTGGTTAATCTAGACTGCCGTTGGATCGAGGAACCATCCACCCTCGTAGCACTCGTATTCAGGCTCGCCAAGGTCACGATAGTAGGGCCGCCATGAGGAGGCAACAATTCAACCTCGGCAGGGCATCTTTTCACATGAAACCACGTCGAGAGGCCCTAATTAAGCATTATGCATGGCCACCTTGGCCTGATGTGCTGCACCAAAACGCACGCTGTACAAGAGCAGACATTCTTGGAGCTGGGAACGGTCAATGTGTTTGAGGTAGTGTCAATGAGGTCCAGGACCTATTCATTTTTGTATCCGGAGGGCTACTGTCTTTGTACTGGGGCGTACAACACCCTGTCCAGGCCGTCGCTCGTGCCCTGCAGCCGGGGGCATCCCTCGTGCCGAGGCTCTATTCTTCCACCCATCTATATTCTGCTGCTGTGCTTCCTTCCAATCCTTGGCGCTCTCCTAGCGCCATGCTCGCGGAAAATCAAGCAATAATAATAATAATTAGAATGATCGGGAAAGTAGCCCTTGTAGAGAATTTGGCTCGTCGAACCTAAGTGTGTTTGTAAAAATGGGGCGGAAGAAGAGGAATTAAGAAAAGTATAAGGGTATCAAAGCGCTTGCTGTTTGTGGAAAGAAAAAAAAAGACGACGTGAAATCATGCCACCCGAGAAACCCAAATACGCCATGCTACCCATCCGAAGAGGACAGACATGCTTTACAGCAAGTTGTGTATCAGACCCAGTGATAGGGCAACAACGCCGACAGCCCAGGGTGGCAGGAAAACACCTGCTAAGCTGCCCGTCACCGCCTCCGGGAGAGTCTCGTTGACAAACTCAGGGCCACACACAGTATTGATCTGGCGTGCAGCACTCTTGTACGTCAGGGAGATGAGTTTCCGGCGATCGGCGGCCTGGGCGTGGAAAATCGCCATCGTCTCAGACAAGCACCAGCTGCACTCGGGCGTGGCACTTCCGGGAAATGTCAGGTTGAATGGCAGGTGGTATGGGTAGATATTCGAAGCGTCATTGAATGTGGTGGCGGTAGCGTAGCAGTACATGGCGTCGTCTTTGCTCTGTAGGCATGTCGCTTTGTAGACCGTTTCGTAGGTTGTGAGGCCACGTAGGCATCGCGAACAACGGCGTGTCCCTTTTTGTAATCGGGCCCACAATTTTCGTCTTTGACGAGCTGCTCGGCCAAGGAGCCAAGATGTGTCTTGCAAAAGTCAAAGTCGACTTCACAGCCGGCGTCAAGGACGCGGACAATGTTGACAAGGCTCTTGCTCGCCTCGAAGAATCCATTAGAGCTCTACAACCAGGTTAGTACTGAGGGACGAGGGGTTGGCGCAGAGAATGGTCTTACCAAAAGCAGCATAGAGATGGGATAACATTTCTTAAAGTCGGAATTAGAAAGGAGAGCATTAATGAAATTTGGGCAGGCAGCGTTGTCTGTGTTGGTGAATGTAGAGGCCATGCTGCTGTCGAATGGTGACGGGAGCGCGGCGGGCACTTCTGTGCTGGAGCTTGGTGGAGTTATGGAGAGACGGGCAGTACTAGCAGCAGTGGTCCTCTCGGACGCGGTTGTGGTTGTTGGCGTTGCTCGTCGTATTGTTGTTGTGCTGCTTTCGTCGTCGTCTTCTTGCCGTTTCCTCAAGTCCGCATCTCCTGATGCCATGGCAGACTTGTAGTGCGCTCCCAAACCCCGCTGACCAGGTGTAAGTGCTGGCAACGTATCCTCGGACGGGACGACGGCGCCTAACGCACTTGACGCCAGGCAAAGCGTCACGAGCAGGAAGCGCGACACCCACGACATGCTCGAAGCGGGAGGACTACGTGATGCCGAGGAAGTTGGTGTCGACGAGAACATGGCTAGTGATGGGATGCTTAGATTTGTGGTGAAAACACCAAGAGCATATCATCCATCAAGAGGGGAAAGTCAGGTCCCAGGCCTGTCGCCTCGGAGGGGTTGAGTGACTCCGTGCCCTTCTTGGACCGACCCCACCAAGATCGTCGGTGGTTCTTGTTGAAGTTGGTCGATCGGCCTACAGGAGAGGTTGGTGGATTTACAGCCCCCAGAGGCGTGACGACTCTGCATGCGTGCTCTTGTGACCAGAAAGAACCCTTTCGCTGACCTCTCTCATTCAAGAAGAAGTCGGTCGTGAGGCGCGTCGTCGACCAGAAATCAATGGCAAGTCGGTTTTGACGAGCTCGCGGGTGGATGACCAGGTGGCGTCGGTGGAGGAATGTCGATCGAGTCCTAAGAGGGTTGGCGAGTGAGACAGGATCGAGAGCCGAACCGAGCCAGACCAACAAGCGAGTGAGTTGGTGACCGGTGCTCGGGTTGCGTCGTTCCAGTCGGTAAAGCGAACTGCGAGATGTTCGCTCTTCGTCTTAGCCTCCGAATTGGACTGTCGGCGTTGCAGAGGCCTGGGAGCAGCTGTGTTCGGTAGGCAAAGGCAAGTGAAGGAACCTCTGAGGCTCTTTGACGTGGGAAGTGAACAGGTGGCCGGGGGGGGGCACAACTTGGTTATGAAGAGAGGACGGTGGTCTCTGCGGCAGCGACGGGGGGCAGCAATATTGGCTTGGCCAAAGCGAGCAGGCGGGTGAGCAGGCGCAGTCGGCGGCGTGGTAGCATCCAGGATGGTGGGCAATGGGGACCAGGGGCCCTGCTTGGGTGTGAGCGTCGTGCCGTGAAGGGGTCAGGAAAAGTGCTTGGACATGGTAGAGCCGGACGAGGCCTGGCTTGAGGTGGGGCCAACTCTACACGGTGGATTCTACAGACTCGTTGCGAACTAGGGATCCCTGCCAGGTACCAGGGGTTCCCAGGCGCGAGCGATTTGACAAGCCACGCGGTGGCACGCGATTCCGCGTGGTGTTGGCGAAAGGGGTCCAGAGCCGACATGTGCTAACAGGTTTTGGGGGCTTGATTCCGGTCGATCGAACACTGAGCATGGTACATTGGACGTGGCAGCATTTGGTGAAGGCGAGGGGGGATATGGTGGCGGTGGTTCGTGAGCCTCCTTTCGATGAAGTAACGTGCAAGAAATTCCAAGCGGTCTCTCCAAAGGCTTTTTTGACCGGCCACTGTATGCTGGCAGGGGCTGAAGGTACACAAGGCACACAACGCAAGGCCTGAATGTCTGCCGAATTGGGGTGGCGGCTGCATGGAGGCGCCCAGTTGGGCAGTTGGTTTGCACAAGCGCAAAGGCAGTCAGCAAGTCATCCAGCCGGTGATTGAATGCTCATGCAGACGGATGCGCCTTTGGGGTCACTGGTGGTGGTACGTAAGTGGTCGAGTACGCGGGGCGACAGCAAAGGCTAAGGAACCAATATTGGGAGGGTCTAGACCAGCGACAGGAGGGCAGCGGACCGGGATAGGTCGACTTGGGCTTGACCAGTAGTCTGGGTATCGACGGGAGATGGTCCAGATGACGTCCCGCATTAGGGTGATCCAGTTGGATCTGCTGGTTCATGCTGGCGGATGTGGCTCTTGATTCGCGCAGAGAATCAGATTGGCTCGTGGCTTTGTCGGTACAGTACAATGCAGCAGAGAATTGATTCTGTTCATGGTAGGTGGATTGGACCGCTGGTGGTCTGATGATTCGCCCGTAGAATTCGCCATTGTATGTCTCTGGCATGCCTGCACTGCATGTGAACAAGAGGCGGAAAGCTTGCCTGGCTGCCTGGCATTGAGCGAGCGGAGGACGTGCGCCGGGCGATGGCTCGCTGGGTCCTGGTCCTAGTAGCATTGGGGGTGGTCGATCAGGTTGCCCTGAAGCCAGCCGGCCGGACAAGTGGGTATGACCATGGATGACCCTTCAGGTGAGCGTTGTGAAGAGTGTGCTGGTGCTGGCGGTGGTACACCCAGGCAAGAAGCAGTAGTCAGGCGAAGTCAGGTAGTGTCGGTGGACCTCATTGGGGACATCGTATTCTCTTTTGGCAGCTTGGAACGAACTCCTGAGCTTGGGGCGAGGAAACAGGGACGTGCCACTACCCGGGGAAGAGCAAGGGGGGCAGGGAGGCTCACGGCCGTTGTGCCTGTTTCTTCGTGTTTGTTGGTGCTCAATGCTCACATCCCCGTCGCCGTGCGTTCCGACCGTGCCTGGTACCGCGACAATGATCCGAAGATGGATGCCATGACCATAACGGCGAAAGAAAAAAAAAGGCGAAGCGAGGCCTCGATGGGACGATGAAAGAGGATAGTGTGCCTGATCCGGACGGGCTGGTCGCAGGCGATGATGGGTTCGAGGCTCAATTGGGGCATGGTGGTGGAAGCATGAAGGAAGATGTGGGAAGAGGGGGAAATTAGACAGGCGCGTGGGCACAGGCGGGGCGTAGGCGGGCGTAGGTGAAGGGTGGGTCACACCTGCTAGGCACCTACCATGTACCTGTAGATGCCCGGGCACGGCTGCCTGGGTACCTAAGGTAGTAAGTAAGTGGCATTTAGCCTACAGCGCCTGCCTGCAAGTACAGTACAGCACCCGCCTGCAGCACCTGCCCCGCCTGAGCTGAGGAGAGGGCCCGCTGCGAGGGCCAATGGGAAAATATAAAGACGACAATGGAAGCCGTCGGAACCTTCTGGTGGTACATCCGGCCCCTTTCCTTCCCTTCTCGGCTGCAGGGAATTGAACCTTGTTTCATCGTGTTCAGGTTTGACACCCATCACGAGCTCGATCTTGACACATTAATAGAAAATACATCAGTAGGGCCGATGCCCACATCCTTTCGCGGCGCGTCGGCACGCCGCCAAGATTAGTACTAGTCATCCACGATCTTTCGATGCGAGCTCGACACATGGCAAATGACAGACGGAAGAGGACACCGGTCAGCGCAGACATGTCAAGGGACACTGTGAATTGCTAGCGATTGGCAGTGCGACCCTAAAGCAAAACTAGTTGTCAGTCAACTCGATCTAACTTATCCAACTGGCTCCCGTCGATCCTTAGGCTCAATCCCTTTAGATGAGAGACGCACGTAGGATGAT